ACCCCAAAAAATATAAATAATATTATTATTTGAGGGGTGGGGGGGAACTCAGTCAGGGTCTCAACATACTGTTGAGAGTTAAAATAGCAGGTGCCAGTTAATTAGTTAGTTCTGATTGTGCATCAGCAGTTTATCTCTTGTTTTGGCATTCACTGACAGTCACTCAATTAGCCATGTCAATTAGCAAAACAAATTTAGATTGGTAAATTAGTCTATCCAGTTGTCTAAACTTGTAGTAATCATGGTCGAATACCGACCGGGCACGCAGGGCACCTGCCCACGGGGCCCTGACCTCCAGGGGGCCCTGACCTCCAGGGGGCCCTGACCTCCAGGGGGCCCACATTGATTTTGTTAGTCACTCTCACTCAGATATCATTAATGTGTACAATTGCAGGAAATTTGCTTTAAAACTGCAGAAATGTCTATCAATCCCATCGCAAAATGGGTAGAATTACAGGCAATTAAACTTTAAAACTGCAGAAATATCTATCAACCCCATCGCAAAATGGGTAGAATTACAGGCAATTAACTTTAAAACAGATATTTTTCTCTAAGCCCTCAAGAGGGGGCACCCCAAAAGGCGAGAGGTGTTTCTGCAACACAGGTGTGTAGGTCAAATAAAGGTCGATATGAGCACATATAGAGTATGATAGTTTGGGTAAAAAAGGTATCATGGAGATAGAGTCTGGCGCTCCATGCTAGAGTACAGGAACTACATTTATCATGGAGATAGAGTCTGGCGCTCCATGCTAGAGTACAGGAACTACATTTATCATGGAGATAGAGTCTGGAGTTCCATGCTAGAGTACAGGAACTACATTTATCATGGAGATAGAGTCTGGAGTTCCATGCTAGAGTACAGGAACTACATTTATCATGGAGATAGAGTCTGGCGCTCCATGCTACAGAGACAAGCGTAGCATCAACCAGACTAAGAACCACTGTAATGAAATATGGGAGCATATAACAGTGAACAGTTATTTCTATTATATGGACGGTACATAGACACTACGTGGACGCTACTATATGGACGCTACTATATGGACGCTACTATATGGACAATACTATGGACGCTACTCATGGACAATACTATATGGACGCTACTATGGACGTACTATAGGACGCTACTATATGGAACGTACTATATGGACAATACTATATGGACGCTACTATATGGACGCTACTATATGGACGCTACTATATGGACAATACTATATGGACAATACTATATGGACGCTACTATATGGACAATACTATATGGATGCTACTATATGGACGCTACTATATGGACGCTACTATATGGACAATACTATATGGACAATACTATATGGACGCTACTATATGGACGCTAATATATGACAATACTATTAGGACGCTACTATATGGACGCTACTATATGGACGCTACTATATGGACGCTACTATATGGACGCTACTATATGGACGCTGAATGGAGGCTTCTACATGGAGGCTACTTCATGGACACTACATGGAGGCTTCTACATGGAGGCTACTTCATGGACGCTACATGGAGGCTTCTACATGGAGGCTACTTCATGGACGCTACATGGAGGCTTCTACATGGACGCTACAGACGCTACATGGACGCTACTACATGGAGGCTACTTCATGGATGCTACATGGAGGCTACATGGAGCCTACTTCATGGAGGCTACTACATGGACGCTACTACATGGAGGCTACATGGAGGCTACTTCATGGACGCTACATGGAGGCTGCTAAATGGACGTTACTACATGGAGGCTACATGGAGGCTACATGGACGCTACATGGAGGCTACTACATGGATGCTATATGGAGGCTACTACATGGAGGCTACATGGAGGCTACATGGAGGCTACTACATGGAGGCTACATGGACGCTACTACATGGACGCTACATGGAGGCTTCTACATGGACGCTACATGGAGGCTTCTACATGTGTGTCCAACAGGGTTTGAACCCGGGTCTCCTGCACACCACAAGACTGTGTTAGCCCGCTGACCTAAAGCTAGGCATAAACTCGGGACGCTAACACAAATCTTAAAGTCTTCGGGCTAGGTCACTCATCACACCAGCGTAGTTCACTGAACCACTATACGCTCCATTGTTATTCAGATGGATCAGATAAATCCATTAGAGAAAGGCCAGGTGAGACCTGTCAGTCTGGAGCTACATGCTACAGCACAGGGATGCCCTGTGTTAATGTAGCCAGCGGTGGGCACCTAGCTTCACGCAGTTTCCAGACCAGACAAAGAAATGCTGTATTCTAAAATATAATTAAGAATACAGCAGTATTTCTCACTGTTGTATCCTACAGAGACAGAAACCAGGAGCGAGTTGCATGGTATACAGTGCCTTCGGAAAGTATTCAGACCCCTTGACTTTTTCCACATTTTCTTACGTTACAGCCTTGTTCTAAAATTGATTAAATTGTTTTTTTTTCCTCATCAACCTACATTATGTTTGCCCCATAATGACAAAGCAAAAACTGTTTTTTAGAAATTATTGCTAATTTATACAAAATATAAAACGGAAATATCACATTTACATAAGTATTCAGACCCTTTACTCAATACTTTGTTGAAGCACCTTTGGCAGCGATTACAGCCTTGAGTCTTCTTGGGTATGACGCTACAAGCTTGGCACACCTGTACTTGGGGAGTTTCTCCCATTCTTCTCTGCAGATTCTCTCAAGCTCTATCAGGTTGGATGGGGAGCGTTGCTGCACAGCTATTTTCAGGTCTCTCCAGAGATTTTCGATAGGGTTCAAGTCCGGCCTTTGGCTGGGCCACTCAAGAACATTCAGAGACTTGTCCCGAAGCCACTCCTGCATTGTCTTGGCTGTGTGCTTAGGGTCATTGTCCTGTTGGAAGGTGAACCTTCGCCCCAGTCTGAGGTCCTTGTCACGGTTTCGGCCGAGGCTGCCTCTCTTCCTTGCTCGGGCAGACTTCGGCGGTCGTCGTCTCCGGAGTACTAGCTGCCACCGTTGTATGTTTCGATGTTCATTTGGTTTTGTCTTGATGTTGTACACCTGTTTTCGTTTAGCGCTCATTAGTGTCCTATAAGTTCTCATTGTGTTTGTCAGGTGTTGTGTGTGATTGTCCTCGCTGTCGTGTTTGTGCGCTACTGTTGGTCATCTGTACTTCGTTGTTTTCCTCCTCTGTTTTAGGAGGGTTCTCGCACATGTTAGTGCGCATTTTGGTTTACGCCTGTGTGCGTATTCTCTCGTCTCCGGGCTTTTTGGCTCGTGTATTGAGTGAGTTTTCACTAAAGTATTTTGGACTAAGTTTCTGCGTCCTGCACCTGATTCCTGCACCACACCCACCTACAGCACCCACTGACAGTCCTGAGCGCTCTGGAGCAGGTTTTCATCAAGGATCTCTCTGTACTTTGCTCCGTTCATCTTTGCATTGATCCTGGCTAGTCTCCCAGTCCCTGCCACTGAAAAACATCCCCACAGCATGATACTGCCACCACCATAGGGATGGTGCCAGGTTTCCTCCAGACGTGACGCTTGGCATTCAGGCCAAAGAGTTCAATCTTGGTTTCATCAGACCAGAGAATCTTGTTTCTCATGGTCTGAGAGTCTTTAGGTCTGAGAGTCTAACTCCAAGCGGGCTGTCATGTGCCTTTTACTGAGGAGTGGCTTCCGTCTGTCACTCTACCATAAAGGTCTGATTGGTGGAGTGCTGCAGAGATGGTTGTTCTTCTGGAAGGTTCTACCATCTCCACACAGGAACTCTAGAGCTCTGTTAGAGTGACCATCGGGTTCTTGGTCACCTCCCTGACCAAGGCCCTTCTCCCTCGATTGCTCAGTTTGGCAGGGCGGCCAGCCCTAGGAAGAGTCTTGGTGGTTCCAAACTTCTTCCATTTAAGAATGATGGAGGCCACTGTGTTCTTGGGGACCTTCAAAGCTGCAGACATTTTTTGGTACCCTTGCCCAGATCTGTGCCTCGACACAATCCTGTCTCGGAGCTCTATGGACAATTCCTTCGACCTCATGACTTGGTTTTTGCTCTGAAATGCACTGTCAACTGTGGGACCTTATATAGACAGGTGTGTGCCTTTCCAAATCATGTCCAATCAATTGAATTTACCACAGGTGGACTCCAATCAAGTTGTAGAAACATCTCAAGGATGATCAATGGAAACAGGATGCACCTGAGCTCAATTTCGAGTCTCATAGCAAAGTGTCTGAATACTTATGTAAATAAGGTATCTGTTTTTTATTTGTAATAAATTTGCTACAATTTCTAAAAACCTGTTTTTGCTTTGTCATTATGGGGTATTGTGTGTAGATTGCTGAGGATTAAAAAAAATCAATTTTAGAATAAGGCTGTAACGTAACAAAATGTGGAAAAAGTCAAGGGGTCTGAATACTTTCCAAAGGCACATTATGTGGTAACAACTGGGTTCCAACCAACTTGGGGATTCTGCACACCAACTGATGGTGTTAGACCACTGATCTAGAGCATAGAATTGACCTAGAGCATAGAATTGATCTAGAGCATAGAATTGATCTAGAACCTAGAATTGATCTAGAGCCTAGAATTGATCTAGAGCCTAGAATTGACCTAGAGCATAGAATTGATCTAGAGCCTAGAATTGACCTAGAGCATAGAATTGACCTAGAGCATAGAATTGATCTAGAGCATAGAATTGATCTAGAGCATAGAATTGACCTAGAGCATATAATTGATCTAGAGCATATAATTGATCTAGAGCATAGAATTGACCTAGAGCATATAATTGATCTAGAGCATATAATTGATCTAGAGCATAGAATTGATCTAGAGCATATAATTGACCTAGAGCATAGAATTGACCTAGAGCATAGAATTGACCTAGAGCATAGAATTGACCTTGCAGCGGTAAGACAAGTCTTCTGGTCTCAGGTAAGGTTACTGATCGAGAGCGAGAGCTTAATTCACCGATCACCACTTTGATGTGGATGATCAGATGCATGAGATAAAACCATTTGAGGAAGGTCAGACCAGTCAGTCCTGCGCTCTATGCTACAGTACAACAGAGATGAGCTGTGTTCACATAGCCAGCAGAGGGCAGATAGCTTAGCATCACAGAGTTTCAACCAGATGCTACATGGTGACTTACCACAGTGAAGTCCTCGGCGCTGCACTCCACCCCGCAGTAGTAGCACGACAGCAGCATGTCCTTGATGTCATGGCCCGTCCGGTCGTAGAACTCTCGCATGTTAAAGGGGCGGGGCTTGAAGTTGAGGAAGTCAGCTTTGATCTTCAGGGTCTCCAGAACGCTTTCCTCAACCAGGTGAGTGTCTCTGATCTCATACCTGGGAAGATGGAAGCAGAAGGACAGTTAGGATCTGTCCTATAGCATCCTGTCGGATCTGTTAGAGGACTAGTCATAGGACTAGAGGGGTGGTTATTGGTGTTCAGGGTCTCCAGGATGCTCTCTTCAACCAGGTGAGTGTCTCTGATCTCACACCTGGAACAGAACAGAATGATAGTTATAGGAAAGTTAGGGAAAGAACTAGGGGTTAGGGTTAGTGGTTAGGACAGAGAGGAAGTCAGCTTTGGGTTGGTGTCCCGTCTCATACCTGGACAGAACGGAGAAGTGTTAGGTCAGCCTCAACAATTTGCTAACCGTTCAGATCTTCAGTAACAACTACATGACCAAAAGTATGTGGACACCTGCTCGTCAAACATCTAATTCCAAAATCATGGGCATTAATATGGAGTTGGTCCCTCCTTTGCTGCTATAACAGCCTCCACTCTTCTGGGAAGGCTTTCCACTAGATGTTGGAACATTGCTGGGGGAACTTGCTCCCATTCAGCCACAAGAGCATTAGTGAGGTCAGGCACTGATGTTGGCCAATTACGCTTGGCTCACAGTCGGCGTTCTAATTCATCCCAAAGGTGTTTGATGGGGTTGAGCTCAGGGCTCTGTGCAGGCCAGTCAAGTTCTTCCACACCGATCTCGACAAACCATTTCTGTGTGGACCTCGCTTTGTGCATGCGGGCATTGTCATGCTGAAATAGGAAAGGGCCTTCCCCAAACTGTTGCCTCAAAGAATTGTCTAGAATATCATTGTATGCTGTAGCATTAAGATTTCACTTCACTGGAACTAAGGGGCCTAGCCCGAACCATATAAAACAGCACCAGACCATTATTCCTCCTCCACCAAACTTTACAGCTCGGGGCAGGTGGAGTTATTTGTATTCATATTTTACATTATAATGCCCAATGTGCTCCCCACTGGGCACAGAAGTCAGTTCAACTTCTAGCTTTGGTTTAAATTTGGTTGAGTTGTCAACTGACGTGAATTCAACGTGAAATCAACAAAATATTTCAGCATGTAATTGGATTTAAAAGTTGGGTGAGAAAAAAATGAAATGCCCTTACGTTGATGGCTTTTTAGCCAATTTGTTTTTCCCGTTGATTCAACGTCATCATATAGATTTTTTGGGTTGAAATGACGTGGAAACAACATTGATTCAACCAGTTTTGCCCAGTGGGTCTAAACCTGTCTGACGGACTGACTGCCTTTTACAGAGTGTTTTCCGATATGGGAAAGTTAAAAGTAAGGTCATTTGGGCCTCCCGAGCTGCGCAGCTGTCTAAGGCAATCCATTGCAGTGCTTGAGGTGTCACTACAGACCCAGGTTCGATCCCAGGCTGTGTCACAACCGGCCGTGACCAGGAGTCCCATAGGGTGGCGCAGTTTGGCGGGTCATGTTTCGGAGGATGCATGACTCGACTTTCGCCTCTCCTGAGCCTGTTGGGGAGTTGCATCGATGAGACGAGATCGTAATTGGATATGAAGAAATTGGGGAGAAAAGGGGGGTAAAAAAATAAATAAATGGAAGGTAATTAAAAAAACTCAGAAGTCTCCTGGAAGCCGTGTCTGTTTTTGTAGTTTCATACGGGACATTGGGACAGGGTTTTTGATGTTAATTAACACTCAAGGTTTTTTTAAAAGTTAAATCACTGCTTTGAAGGAAAACCTTGGTATGTCCTAGAGCAGTGGTCACCAACCTTTTACGTTTTACATTTTAGTCATTTAGCAGACACTCTTATCCAGAGCGACTTACAGTTAGTGCATACATTTTTCATACTGAGTCAAGATCACTTTCACGGTCAAAAAGCAAGCCGAGATCTACCACTCAGATTATTTTTTAAACATGACTTAAGAAATGTAACATTAACCTAATAAAAACAGCTGTGTAGGAATGAGGTTTGTGCAGTAGGCCTAATACATTATGACAGCGTATTGGCTATATGCCTGTTCTGACAATATTGTTCTTCTCAGACCATATTATACTTGAACAAAAATATAAACGCAACATGCAACAATGTCAAAGATTTGACTGAGTTACACTTCATATAAGGAAATCAGTCAATTGAAATACATTAATTAGGCACTAATCTATGGATTCACGTGACTGCGAATACAGATATGCATCTGTTGGTCACAAAAAAGTAGGGGCATGGATCACAAAACCACCATTTGCCTCATGCAGCCGAATACAACTCCTTTGCATAGAGTTCATCAGGCTTTTGATTGTGCCCTGTGGAATGTTGTCCCACTCCTCTTCAATGGCTGTGCAAAGTTGCTGGATATTGGCGGGAACTGGAACACGCTGTTGTACACGTCGATCCAGAGCATGGAAGAACTGGGACATTTTCAGCTTCCAGGAATTGTGTACAGATCCTTGCGACATGGGGCCGTGCATTATCATGCTGAAACATGAGGTGATGGCGGCAGATGAATGGCATGACAATGGGCCTCAGGATCTCGTCACGGTATCTCTGTGCATTCAAATTGCCATGGATAAAATGCAATTGTGTTCGTTGTCCGTAGCTTATGCCTGCCCATACCATAACCCCACCTCCACCATCGGGCACCCTGTTCACAACGTTGACATCCTCAAACAGCTTGCCCACACAACGCCATACACAATGTCTGCCCTCTGTCCGGTACAGTTGAAACCGGGATTAATCAGTGAAGAGCACACTTCTCCAGCGTGCCAGTGGCCATCGAAGGTGAGCATTTGCTCACTGAAGTCAGTTACGACGCCGAACTGCAGTCAGGTCAAGACCCTGGTGAGGACGAGCAGGCAGATGAACTTCCCCGAGACGGTTTCTGACAGTTTGTGCAGAAATTCTTTGGTTCTGCAAACCTACAGTTTCATCAGCTGTCCGGGTGGCTGGTCTCATATAATCTCGCAGGTGAAGAAGCCGAATGTGGAGGTCCTGGGCTGGTGTGGTTACACGTGGTCTGCAGTTGAGAGGCCGGTTGGACGTACTGCCAAATTCTCTAAAACAACGTTGGAGGTGGCTTATGGTAGAGAAATTAACATTCAATTCTCTGGCAACAGCTCTGGTGGACATTCCTGCAGTCAGCATGAGAATTGCACACTCCTTCTAAACTTGAGACATCTGTGGCATTGTCTTGTGTGACAAAACAGAACATTTTAGAGTGGCCTTTTATTGTCCCCAGCACAAGATGCACCTGTGTAATGATCATGCTGTTTTTTTATTGTTTTTTTTAAACCTTTATTTAACTAGGCAAGCCAGATAAGAACAAATTCTTATTTACAATGACGGCCTACCCCGGCCAAACCCGGACGACGCTGGGCCAATCGTGCGCCACCCTATGGGACTCCCAATCACGGCCGGTTGTGATACAGCCTGGAATCGAACCAGGGGGTCTGTAGTGACGCCTCAAGCACTGAGATGCAGTGCCTTAGACCGCTGCGCCACTCGGGAGCCCAATAAGCTTCTTGTGGAAGGCTTCTGAATCAAGTGCAACTACCACAAACAGGGCTTCTGAATCAAATGCACCTACCACCAACAGGGCTTCTGAATCAAGTGCACCTACCACCAACAGGGCTTCTGAATCAAATGCACCTACCACCAACAGGGCTTCTGAATCAAATGCACCTACCACCAACAGGGCTTCTGAATCAAGTGCACCTACCACCAACAGGGCTTCTGAATCAAATGCACCTACCACCAACAGGGCTTCTGAATCAAATGCACCTACCACCAACAGGGCTTCTGAATCAAGTGCACCTACCACAAACAGGGCTTCTGAATCAAATGCACCTACCACCAACAGGGCTTCTGAATCAAGTGCACCTACCATCAACAGGGCTTCTGAATCAAATGCACCTACCACCAACAGGGCTTCTGAATCAAATGCACCTACCACCAACAGGGCTTCTGAATCAAATGCACCTACCACCAACAGGGCTTCTGAATCAAATGCACCTACCACCAACAGGGCTTCTGAATCAAGTGCACCTACCATCAACAGGGCTTCTGAATCAAATGCACCTACCACCAACAGGGCAACATGAATAAAAAGGAGCGCAAGTGTTTATCACAGTCTTTATCACAGTCTTTATCACAGCCTTTATCACAGCCTTTATCACAGCCTTTATCACAGCCTTTATCACAGTCTTTATCACAGCCTTTATCACAGCCTTTATCATAGCCGTTATCACAGCCTTTATCACAGTCTTTATCACAGCCTTTATCACAGCCTTTATCACAGACTTTATCACAGCCGTTATCACAGTCTTTATCACAGCCTTTATCACAGCCTTTATCACAGTCTTTATCACAGCCTTTATCACAGCCTTTATCACAGCCGTTATCACAGTCTTTATAACAGTCTTTATCACAGTCTTTATCACAGCCATTATCACAACGTTTATCACAGCCTTTATCACAGTCTTTATCACAGTCTTTATCACAGCCTTTATCACAGCCGTTATCACAGCCTTTATAACAGTCTTTATCACAGTCTTTATCACAGCCGTTATCACAACGTTTATCACAGCCTTTATCACAGCCTTTATCACAGCCTTTATCACAGCCTTTATCACAGTCTTTATCACAGCCTTTATCACAGCCTTTATCACAGCCGTTATCACAGCCGTTATCACAGCCGTTATCACAGCCTTTATCACAGCCTTTATCACAGCCTTTATCGTTGGCTTTTCTACAGAAATGTTTGGTGATCGACTAGGAATGCCTTGAAGATCGACCGGTTGGTGACCCCTGATCTAGAGACATCTAGTCTTCTCAGACCAAGGAGGGAGGGACAGATGTAGCCCTATTGAGGAACAGTCATGGTATGTAGCACTTGGGGTTCGTTTTGATGACAATTTTATTTTCTATCTTACATGGTAAAAACTTGAGATAAAAGGGTCTCAGATGTAGAGAGAATAAAGGGGCTGAAGTGTAATCCTGTCAGCTCTGTTAGCTTGGTATTACATATTATCACCAGACACTCTGTTAGCTTGGTATTACATATTATCACCAGACACTCTGTTAGCTTGGTATTACATATTATCACCAGACACTCTGTTAGCTTGGTATTACATATTATCACCAGACACTCTGTTAGCTTGGTATTACATATTATCACCAGACACTCTGTTAGCTTGGTATTACATATTATCACCAGACACTCTGTTAGCTTGGTATTACATATTATCACCAGACACTCTGTTAGCTTGGTATTACATATTATCACCAGACACTCTGTTAGCTTGGTATTACATATTATCACCGGACACTCTGTTAGCTTGGTATTACATATTATCCCCACACTGTCTGTAAAAGTCAGTTTAAAGTCGTGACTTTCTTGTGACGGAGTCTGGTCTAGTGAAAGCATAGCCAACTCAGGACTACATATCCCCCTGGCAATGGGGGTTTGAGCTGACTCAGGACTACATATCCCCCTGGCAATGGGGGTTTGAGCCAACTCAGGACTACATATCCCCCTGGCAATGGGGGTTTGAGCCAACTCAGGACTACATATTTCCTTGGCAATGGGGGTTTGAGCAAACTCAGGACTACATATCCCCCTGGCAATGGGGGTTTGAGCCAACTCAGGACTACATATCCCCCTGGCAATGGGGGTTTGAGCTGACTCAGGACTACATATCCCCCTGGCAATGGGGGTTTGAGCCAACTCAGGACTACATATCCCCCTGGCAATGGGGGTTTGAGCTGACTCAGGACTACATATCCCCCTGGCAATGGGGGTTTGAGCCAACTCAGGACTACATATCCCCCTGGCAATGGGGGTTTGAGCCAACTCAGGACTACATATCCCCCTGGCAATGGGGGTTTGAGCTGACTCAGGACTACATATCCCCCTGGCAATGGGGGTTTGAGCCAACTCAGGACTACATATCCCCCTGGCAATGGGGGTTTGAGCCAACTCAGGACTACATATCCCCCTGGCAATGGGAGTTTGAGCTGACTCAGAGTTTGAGCCATTCTTGTCTGAGCCCCACTACAATCGATCTATCTTCATCTCTACATTCCCTGTTGTTTTTAAAAATAGTACACAAATAAGATCCGATCTCGTTAAACAAAAACAACAGCTGTGATGTTCAGTTGAAGTCAAGTAGAGGGAGTAAGAAAAGGTCTCAGCAAGGTGAATTGCTCATCATTAGTCAGCATTCTCCAACGATCACTCTGCCATGCAGTACAATTAAATGAATTGCAGCGAAAGAGTCCACTTTGGTGAAACTAAGAGCACATTCTAGTGCAGTAATTCATGTCAAGTGCTCTTAGCAGCACTCAGAAAACATGTACGTTCAGCCTGGTATTATAAAGCTACATACAAAACCATCAGGTATCATTTCTGAAGTGTCGGCCCTGAGCACACACACACACACACACACGTATGCATACACACACACACACACATGTATGCATACACACACACACACACACACACACACACACACACGTATGCATACACACACACACACATCACTGCAATTGTGGATGCCATTCCCGCAAGCTATTCAAGGTATAGTCCTGTGTAGCTCAGTTGGTAGAGCATGGCGCTTGCAACGCCAGGGTTGTGGGGTCGATTCCCACGGGGGGGGGCCAGTATGAAAATATATGCACTCATTGAACTGTAAGTTGCTCTGGATAAGAGCGTCTGCTAAATGACGTAACTGTGGCCCAAGATTGTGTCACGCTTCAAAGGTGTCACCTCTTTCTCTCTGCCACTATCGACTCCCAACACCTGTTCAGGTTACACACACACACACACACACACAGTTACTAATGAACCTTCCTTAATAATAGCACCCCCCACCAGGTAGGTTTTCCATTTAAAACCATAATAATGAATGACTAAGCAATTAGTGGATACAAACATACGACTGTTGTTAGTGACTATTATGTTATTGATCTGCAAAACGTTTTGCTGTGTCTAGTTAACTTTAGATTAAAGAACAAAGAACAACAAAAGTCTCCTCACGCAATAAGCGTATGGTTATACAGTACCAGTCAAAAGGTTTGGACACACCTGCTCATTCCAGGACTTTACTTTATTTGTACTATTTTCTACATTGTAGAATAATAGCGAAGACATCAAAACTATGAAATAACACATAAGGAATCATGTTGTAACAATAAAAGTGTTAAACAAATCAAAATATATGTTATATTTGAGATTCTTCAAAGTAGCCACCCTTTGCCTTGATGACAGGTTTGCACACACTTGGCATTCTCTCAAACAGATTCATGAGGTAGTCACCTGGAATGCATTTCAATTAACAGGTGTGCCAATTTGGTAAAAGACCAAGTCCATATTATGGCAAGAACAGCTCAAATAAGCAAAGAGAAACGACAGTCCATCATTAATTTAACAGATGAAGGTCAGTCAATCCGGAAAATGTCAAGAACTTTGAAAGTTTCTTCAAGTGCAGTCGCAAAAACCATCAAGCTCTATGATGAAACTGGCTCTCATGAGGACCACCACAGGAATGGAAGACCCAGAGTTACCTCTGCTGCAGAGGATAAGTTCATTAGAGTTACCAGCCTCAGAAATTGCAGCCCAAATAAATGCTTCACAGAGTTCAAGTAACAGACGCATCTCAACATCAACTGTTCAGAGGAGAATGTGTGAATCGGCCTTCATGGTCGAATTACTGCAAAGAAACCACTACTAAAGGACACCAATAAGAAGAAGAGACTTGCTTGAACCAAGAAACACGAGAAACTGACATTAGACTGGTGAAAATCTGTCCTTTGGTCTGATGAGTCCATATTTGAGATTTTTGGTTCCAACCGCTGTGTCTTTGTGAGACGCAGAGTAGGTGAATGGATCTCCGCATGTGTGGTTCCTACAGTATACATACAGTGGCTTGCGAAAGTATTCACCCCCCTTGGCATTTTTCCTATTTTGTTGCCTTACAACCTGGAATTTAAATGGATTTTTGGGGGGTTTGTATCATTTGATTTACACAACATGCCTACCACTTTGAAGATGCCAAACATTTTTTGGGGTGAAACAAACAACAAATAAAACAAGAAAACAGAAAACTTGAGCGAGCATAACTATTCACCCCCCCCCCCCCCCCCCAGGTGTACATTTACTGAGATCATGTGACAGATCATGTGACACTTAGATTGCACACAGGTGGACTTTATTTAACTAATTATGTGACTTCTGAAGGTAATTGGTTGCACCAGATCTTATTTAGGGGCTTCATAGCAAAGGGGGTGAATACATATGCACGCACCAGTTTTCTGTTATTTATTTTGTTCATTTCACTTCACCAATTTGGTCTATTTTGTGTATGTCCATTTACATGAAATAAAAATAAAAAATAAATTTAAATTACAGGTTGTAATGCAACAAAATAGGAAAAACGCCAAGGGGGATGAATACTTTTGCAAGGCACAGATCTTGTTGAACACAAGTGTGAATGATTAAAACACGGTTTAACCGCTGTACATCAGGAACACATCCAGATCACCACCGCATCGCCACCTTGTCATGGTTCATCTCCATAACAGCCCAATGCCTTTGTGTGATGTACTGTATTCCTAAACCTAACTGAATTGTACCCAGTGTCACACCGAGCTTCTTATAGCGACACAGAGCTGCCGGGAGAGCACTTAAGACTTTGTGTTGTTGCTCAGAACTCACAGTCACAGCTAGTGCTTTAGAAATGTGGAGGAAGGAGGGAAGCAGCGAATCACAATAATGTGTGGATTTTTTATATTACCCTGCCACTCTTCTTCTTTCCCTAAACCAATCACAGCACTCTCTGTACTGTACAGTATGAAACTGTATGCACTCACTAACTGTAAGTCGCTCTGGATAAGAGCGTCTGCTAAATGACTAAAATTAAAAAATGTACAGGGGGAGAGGGACGGGGATGGGGAGAGGGGACAGGGAGTGGAGAGGGGAGAGGGGGAGGGGAGGATGGGAGGGAGGGAGAGGGGAGGGGGAAAGGGAGGGAGAGGGGAGAGGGGGTGGGGAGAGGGGAAGGTGGGGGAGAGGGGGAAGGGAGGGAAGAGGTGGGGGGTGGGACGAGGGTGGGGGGGGAGAGGGGGGGAGGGATGAGTGGAGAGGGGGAGAGGGGGAAAGGGAGGGGAGGGGGGGGGGAAGAAGGAGTGTGGGAGAGGGGGAAGGGAGTGGAGAGGGGGGTGGGGAAGAGGGGGTGGGGAGAGGGGAGGAGGTGAGTGGGAGAGGGAGAGGGGGCAGGGAGGGAGAGGGGTGGGGGAGAAGGCGGGGGGAGAGGGGGGCAGGAGGGGAGAGGGGGGGGAGTGAGACGGGGTGGGGAGAGGGGTGGGGAGAGGGGGAGGGAGGGGAGGGGGTGGGGAGAGGGGGGGGGAGACGGGGGCAGGGAGTGGGGGAGGGGAGAGGGGGAGGGAGGGAGAGGGGGTGGGGAGAGGTGTGGGGAGGGGAGGGGAGGGAGAGGGGGGGGGAAGGGTTGGGGAGAGGGGGCAGGGAGTGGAGAGGGGGTGGGGAGAAGGTGTGGGGAGAGGGGGCAAGGGGGAGGAGTGGAGAGGGGGGGGGGAGGGGGGCGGGGAGGGGGAGAGGGGAGGGGGGCAGGGTGGAAGGGGGAGGGGGGCAGGAAGTGGAGAGGGGAAGGGGGAGGGGGCGGGGAGTGGAGAGGGGAAGGGGAGAGGGGGGCGGAGGGGGGAGGGGAGGGGGGGGGGGGCAGGATGGAGAGGGGAGGGGGGGAGGGGGCAGGGAGTGGAGGGGAGAGGGGGGGAAGGGGGGGGGGGGGGGGAGAGGGAGAGGGGGCAGGGAGGGGAAAGGGGGGAAAGGGGGGAGAGGGGGCAGGAGTGGAGAGGGGGAGGGGGCGGGAGGGAGGGGGGAAGGGGGGTGGGGAGAGGGTTGGGGAGGGGGGACAGGGGGGGAGGGGAGGGGGGGGGGGAAAAGGGGGGGGGAAGGGGGGACAGGGGTGGAGGGGGGAGGGGGGGTGGGGAAAAGGTGGGGGGAGAGGGGACAGGGAGTGGAGAGGGGAGGGGGGCAGGGAGTGGAGAGGGGAGAGGGGAGGGGCAGGGGGGGAAAGGGGGGAAGGGGGGGGGGGAGTGGAGAGGGGAGAGGGGCTGGGGAGAAGGTGTGGGGAGAGGGGGCAGGGAGTGGAGAAGGGCTGGGGAGAAGGTGTGGGGAGAGGGGGTGGGGAGAGGGGTCAGGGAGTGGAGAGGGGGTGGGGAGGGTGGTTAAATTAGATTATGAGCCACAAGCACTTAAATTTTCAGGCGCCGCAAATGGTTAGATGGTTAGCTAGACAAATGGAGGGCACGTCTCTCTCTCGCTCTCTCTCCTTGGCTCATCGCGCTCTAGAGACTCGTTGTGGCGGGCCAGGCGCCTGCAGGCTGACCTCGGTTGTCAGTTGAACGGTGTTTCCTCCGACACATTGGTGCGGCTGGCTTCCGGGTTAAGCAGGGAGGGTGTTTAGCGGGTCATGTTTCGAAGGACGACTCGACCTTCGTCTCCCGAGCCTGTTGGTGGGAGTTGCAGCGATAAGACAAGATCGTAATTGGGGAGAAAAAGGGGGTAAAATACACACACACACACAAAAACATAGGCCTATGGGCTAGGCTACATGATGCATGTGACTTTGATTTCAAAAAGTTGGGGGAAAAAATGCACGCTCTGTTTCTTGCCTTAGACTGCACATGTTGGGCATCATTCACAAGTGATAATATTCTCACCAATCAGACTATTCTCAATGTAATCATGTCTCTACATACAGTGAGGGAAAAAAGTATTTAATCCCCTGCTGATTTTGTACGTTTGCCCACTGACAAAGACATGATCAGTCTATAATTTTAATGGTAGGTTTATTTGAACAGTGAGAGACAGAATCAAAAATGTCAAAAATGTTATAAATTGATTTGCATTTTAATGAGGGAAATAAGTATTTGACCCCTCTGCAAAACATGACTTAGTACTTGGTGGCAAAACCCTTGTTGGCAATCACAGAGGTCAGACGTTTCTTGTAGTTGGCCACCAGGCCTGCACACATCTCAGGAGGGATTTTGTCCCACTCCTCTTTGCAGATATTCTCTAAGTCATTAAGGTTTCGAGGCTGACGTTTGGCAACTCGAACCTTCAGCTCCCTCCACAGATTTTCTATGGGATTAAGATCTGGAGACTGGCTAGGCCACTCCACGACCTTAATGTGCTTCTTCTTGAGCCACTCCTTTGTTGACTTGGCCGTGTGTTTTGGGTCATTGTCATGCTGGAATACCCATCCACGACCCAGTTTCAATGCCCTGGCTGAGGGAAGGAGGTTCTCACCCAAGATTTGACGGTACATGGCCCCGTCCATCGTCCCTTTGATGCGGTGAAGTTGTCCTGTCCCCTTAGCAGAAAAACACCCCCAAAGCATAATGTTTCCACCTCCATGTTTGACGGTGGGGATGGTGTTCTTGGGGTCATAGGCAGCATTCCTCCTCCTCCAAACACGGCGAGTTGAGTTGATGCCAAAGAGCTCAATTTTGGTCTCATCTGACCACAACACTTTCACCTAGTTCTCCTCTGAATCATTCAGATGTTCATTGGCAAACTTCAGACGGGCATGTATATGTGCTTTCTTGAGCAGGGGGACCTTGCGGGCGCTGCAGGATTTCAGTCCTTCACGGCGTAGTGTGTTACCAATTGTTTTCTTGGTGACTATGGTCCCAGCTGCCTTGAGATCATTGACAAGATCCTCCCGTGTAGTTCTGGGCTGATTCCTCACTGTTCTCATGATCATTGCAACCACGAGGTGAGATCTTGCATGGATCCACAGGCCGAGGGAGATTGACAGTTCTTTTGTGTTCCTTCCATTTGCGAATAATCGCACCAACTGTTGTCACCTTCTCACCAAGCTGCTTGGCGATGGTCTTGTAGCCCATTCCAGCCTTGTGTAGGTCTTCAATCTTGTCCCTGACATCCATGGAAAGCTCTTTGGTCTTGGCCATGGTGGAGAGTTTGGAATCTGATTGATTGATTGCTTCTGTGGATAGGTGTCTTTTATACAGGTAACAAACTGAGACTCAACTAAGCTCATTACCTGTATAAAAGACACCTGGGAGCCAGAAATCTTTCTGATTGAGAGGGTTCGAATACTTATTTCCCTCATTAAAATGCAAATCAATTCATAACATTTTTGACATGCGTTTTTCTGGATTTTTTGGTTTGTTATTCTGTCTCTCACTGTTCAAATAAACCTACCATTAAAATTATAGACTGATCATTTCTTTCTCAGTGGGCAAACGTACAAAATCAGCAGGGGATGAAATACTTTTTTCCCTCACTGTATACTAAATCATATATGTGTTAAATTAAATTTTGATTTAGAAGGGGCCAATTTCATGCACCTGTTGGAACAGGGGCAGGGGGAAAAAAGACGACTTCAATAGCAACTGGAGGACGCTTTTCCCGTAGTTCATTTTCATGCCAGCCAGGTAGGCTATTCCGGTTGTAAAGCAAAGCAATGTGCTTAATATTAGGAAAGTTTACAGATAAATATAGTAGGCCCAGCCTATAGAAATATGATTGGATCCTCCTATTTTTAATAGAGGCCAACAAACCTCTGTTTTCTCAAGCAATTACATAGCATAGCCTATAGAAATGTTACTTGAGTTTATAGGAACACTTATTTAACTCCATGCACCAACCAGCTATGAGGAGCTGACTCACTGCACAACAGGTGATCCTTTTCCGCTCAAACTCTGAATGCCAGGGCTCTCATGAAGTGTGTGATTAGATTTTCGATTGCATTTGCATTGATGTCAGAAAAATTTGAGGGACAATGGAGCACTGAGTACCAGGCCATTAGCGACTGGCCGTTTGGTAGGCTGCTAATGACCATTAGTGGCCATCATAGTGCAGTCTTGGAGAAGCCTAATTACCGTGACTCAATTATCCCTATCCATATCAGTCCTCTCTATCCATATCAATCCTCTCTATCCATATCAATCCTCTCTATCCATATCATATCTATCCTGGGCGGCAGGTAGCTTAGGGGGTAAGAGCGTTGTGCCAGTAATCGAAAGGTTGCTGGTTCTAATCCCTGAGCCGACTAGGTGACAAATCTGTCGATGTGCCCTTAAGCAAGGCACTTAACCCTAATTGCTCCTGTAAGTCGCTCTGGATAAGAGTGTCTGCTAAATGACTAAAATGAATGTAAAATATCAATTATCCATATCTGTCCTCCATATCCAAATGTTATAATCAATTTATAACATTTTTGACATGCATTTTTCTGGATTTTGTTGTTGTTATTCTGTCTCTCACTGTTCAAATAAATCATTTATTTGTCAGTGGTAAAACGTACAAAATCAGCAGGGGATCAAATACTTTTTTCCCCTCACTGTACATATATATATACAAATCTCAGTTGACCAACAGAGGCATGCAGAGGCCAAATCGAGCTCATTACCGCATCGCCATGCACCTCCCAAATTTTGTAACAACTCGGAGGGCTCTGTATAGCTCTGCATTGACATGATTGGTTGACGGTAGGTGGGGGCGGTACATCCTGTATAAACAGAAACTCACTTCCTTTACAACAGCTCTGCACTGCTCGGTGAAGCGCAAGAAGTATGAATGCCCTGATTTCTGCTGAGGCCATTTCACTGTAAATGCTGCATGGCCAATGCAGACCTCGGATTGACCAGCGCCCAGAATGCACTCTCTCCCGCCAATTTGTGCATTCATTGTTTTATAACTTCATTGTGTGAATTGTTTGCGTTCGATTGTTAGTGTCTATCAATTCCCCATTACATGCATCACCAGCAGTACAGTTACCGTTAATTCCTATCATTTCTATTCTACAGTGTTTGTTACTTTGGTTACGGTAATTTCTGTTAATGCATTCAATATTATTATTCCAGTCTTCCTGTTGTCATTGTCGGAGTGGGACACGTTGTTTGCAGAGCGCACAACCTACGCTACACTTGTGAATAACACATTTAGGTTTATTTCCTTCCATTTACGAGTTTTGCCAATTTAGTCATTGTCTTTTGTTTGGAGCGCTCCTGTCAATGTTGAGTAAGGACACCAACGCATGGCCTATAGGCTGCCTGGCCTGCGTGCAAATGTAGGTATATAAATGTGCCCATTTGGGGATCTGATAGTATTTCTGATTGGCTTAACGCACCACCACTAATGAGCTGTGGAGCTTCTCAAAAGTAATGTTTTCTTCACCTCAAAACAGCAAGCGAACGAAGTCTGTTTTTACATCTATTGAGATTTACAATAGTTCCTCAATGTATTTGAAAAAGCTTTCCAGCTCTCTACCTTTCGATAACCACTCAGCATGAAAGGTAAAAATGTCCTGCTCTGATCCGGTGGAAACGTCATAAAATAGGCCTACCAGTGCTTGACTTGGACTGAAATAGGGCCCGGTACTCATTTTGGGTGCCGGTACTGTTTATATTTAGGTGTAGGAGCTCCACAATACTTTTGAGCTAATATTCTATAAGAGGTGCAGGAGCTCAAGCGGTAGAACATGTGAGGTGCCGGTACTCAGGTCCGGTGAGCTCCTGCCCAAGTCAAGCACTGCTTCTTATCCCTTGCGCAAATAGCCTACAGCTGTCTGTCCCGAGCTCACTGACGGGGAAACTCTGAGGGCCCAGAATATTTTATGCAATGTTGCAAGTTTGCTAGCTCAAGCTTCAGGCCTGACCCAAGTTGATAGTTGATACAATGTTTCAGGTTCATTGCAGACAGGCCATGCATAGCCAACGTGATTTATAGGATATTTATTTTTTATCAGGATATTTTCTACCTGAAGGCTGTATTGTTTACATTGTTGGCAATGGCAATAGAAGTTACTTTTTTAGGTTTGCATCATTTCATTTAGATTTGGATAGAATTTTGATTAATCACATGACAAGACGTTATTATAAATTAAATGAAACTCTTCCACGAAAATGTGCATATGAAAACCATAACTGGCAATCAGATCCGTAGAAATGGTCAGATAATTTGTCATTCCACATTAGAAAGGTTGCAGACTCTTCTTGTAGACTATTACAGGCAACTTCAGGAGAGTAACGGCAGAATCTGCGAAAGCCACCTGGAGAGGGAGGAGAATGGTTGGGTCAGGTTCTTTTCTTCTGGTTATCTACATCTCTGGCTCCCTCGAGGCATTTGTGTCTTATTTCATCAAACAGTGCGCTTAAAGCGTCAGACAAGCTCAATGCATATAGTTGATTTGATTAAAACACATAGGGTGTGTCTATACATGGAAAAATACACGTTTAAAAAAATCAACCAATCGATTGGACGAAAGAACAGATAATTGGTCAAATTAACAGATGACTTTCGGTCGGGCAAGATTTTTTTTTGTCGGGGACAGCCCTAGAAAGAATGGCTTCGCTGCTTTGCTGACTTCCATACTTGGATAATTCTAGTTAGTCGATGACTATAGCAGCACATGCCAGCTCCAATTATTGAACCATTAAATTATCCTCTAACATCTGCCGATCAACTTGATTGATCCCAATTGTTCTGCACTGTAAAGCTTGACTTCAGACTCAAAACCCTCTTTTAAAGTAGAACACTTTATCGCTGCTTCGCGAAACAATAAAAAGGATTGTCACGTTCGTTTAAGGACGGGTCAGACCAAGGCGCAGCGTGATATGCATACATGTTTATTTCAACGATAAACACACGACAAAACAACAAACCAAACCAAACGTGAAGTCCAAAGGCTGAACACAAAAACTAGCCTAAACACGGAACAAGATCCCACAACCCATAATTGCCAATAGGCTGCCTAAGTATGATCCCCAATCAGAGACAACGAGCGACAGCTGTCTCTGATTGGGAAACACACCCGGCCAAACATAGAAATACAAAACCTAGATCACAAACATAGAAAATAAAACATAGAATATCCACACCCTGACTCAACATACAAGAGTCCCCTGAGTCAGGGCGTGACAAGGACAGTTTCCCAGACCATGATAAGGCCAATTCCTAGACCAAAAAGCACTTTTAATGGATAATCTGCATTGAGTATGCTTTTACTGTAGGTACAGGACTAGGGTTAATCTGTGTCCAGGAAACCAGCCCAAAGTGCTTAGACAGAGGACAAAGTCTTCTTCTGAGAGACATTACTGTAGCTCATCTCCATGTTGCCTCAGCAGCTTCGACAAGCATCTAGCCTTCTCTGGAGGAGAGGAGGAGGAGGAGGAGGAGGAGGAGGAGGAGGAGGAGAGAACCCCTGCTGTTAGCTGACTGGGTATTTGACGGACAAGTACTTGGAGAGACACAGTCAACGTGTTAACACGTCTTTACACACACACGCAAATGAAAACACTGATTACACGTGTCACGACTTCCCCTCCTTGTTCGGGCAGGCTTCGGCGTTCGTCGTCACCGGAGTACTAACCACTGCCGCCCCAATCATCATCACAATTGTCTTGTCCATCACACACACCTGGTTCTATTCCCCTAATTAGTCTGTGTATAAGTGTCCCCTTGTCCCCTTGTCCTTGTGGGTGATTGTTTGTTGTGGAGGTTAGTGAAGCTCGGTGGAGCTCTTGTATTTTGTATCGACGGGAGTATTTTACCCTTGTGTCTTGTATTTTCCAGTGCACCTGTTTTGTGCCCTGGAGTGTGTTTGACGCATTTCTGCGTAACCTGTATTTTTCGGATTAAAGCCTGTTTCTGTGATTGACCCTCCTGCGCCTGACTCCTTCAACACCACCTCATCACAACATGCTAGTAGAGTACAGTCTTTATTATCCCCGGGGGGGGGGCAAATTATTTTGCAGCAGGTAGTAAAAACATATCGAACACATTACAATAAATATACAGAAGAACAATACACAGCAATATGTACACAACTAACAGTACTACTACATCTTATTGAGAAAGCTGATAGCAGCTGGCATGAATGGGAGTTTAGCCTGTATCTGATCTCTGAGGGAAGCAACGTAAATTAATCAAATAAGGAATGCTGGGAGTCCCTCAGAATGGATGGCTGATACAGGTCAGAAAGGCCAGTTCAGTTCCAACCAATGATCCCTGCTACTTAGTTTAACAATGTTAAAAAGCCTGTTCTTACTCTTTAAGTTTAAGATTGCCAAAACAGCAGATCATATTGAATGCTACAATGGATTCAATGAACGATCTGTAAAATATGGTCATCAGCGTCTTATTCACCCAGAAACTGCGGAGTTCCCTCAGGAAGAACAAGCGCTGATTTCCCTTTGCACAAATAGCATTCCCTTTGCACAGATAACATTGGCTGTCAAGGAAAAGTGCCAAGATATCTGTATCGGTCAACAGTCTCCACTGGCTCACCATCTATCAGTCTGTATCGGTGACAGTGAGCTCCTCCGGAAATCAATAGCCCTATCCTTGGTTTTCTTGACATTAAGTTCTAAGTAGGAGCGGTCACACCATCCTACAAATTCCTTCACCACTGGCCCATGGCTCACCTCCTCATCCTGTAAAAGACTAACGATAACCGAGTGGTCTGCAAACGTAATAACATGTCTAGAGTCGTTATTAATCACAGTACAACAGAGGGGAAAGGACGCAGCCTCTTGGTGACAACAAACAGTAGTCTGGCACGGGTCTTACGTCCCTCAAATCAAATCAAATGTTATTGGTACACTTGTTTAGCAGATGTTATCGCGGGTTTAGCGAAATGCTTGTGTTCCCAGCTCCAACAGCGGCGGTAATATCTAACAATTCACAACAATACACACAAATCTAAAAGTAAAATAATGGAATTAAGAAATATATAAATATATAAATATTAGGACGAGCAATGTCGGAGTGGCATTGACTCAAATACAGTAGAATAGAATGCAGTATATACATATGAAATGAGTAAAGCAGTATGTAAACATTATTAAAGTGACTAGTGTTCCATTATTAAAGTGACCAGTGATTCCATGTCTATGTACATAGGGCAGCAGCCTCTAAGGTGCAGGGTTGAGTAGCCGGGTAGTAGCCGGCTAGTGATGGCTATTGAACAGTCTGATGGCCTTGAGATAGAAGCTGTTTTTCAGTCTCTCGGTCCCAACTTTGATGCACTTGTACTGACCTCGCCTTCTGGATGATAGCGGGGTGAACAGGCCGTGGCTCGGGTGGTTGATGTCCTTGATTATCTTTTTGGCCTTCCTGTGACACCAGGTGCTGTAGGTGTACTGGAGGGCAGGCAGTGTGCCCCCGGTGATGCGTTGGGCAGACCGCACCACTCTCTGGAGAGCCCTGCGGTTGCGGGCGGTGCAGTTGCCGTACCAGGCGGTGATACAGCCCGACAGGATGCTCTCAATTGTAGAGGTGATATGATCCTTAACTAGCCTCTCAAAGCACTTCATGATGACAGAAGTGAGTGCTACGGGGCAATAGTCATTTAGTTCAGTTACCTTTCCTTTCTTGGGTACAGGAACAATGGTGGACATCTTGAAGCAAGTGGGGACAGCAGACTGGGATAGGGAGAGATTGAATATATCTGTAAACACTCCAGCCAGCTGGTCTGCGTATGTTCTGAGGACGCGGCTAGGGATGCCGTTTGGGCCGGCAGCCTTGTGAGGGTTAACACGCTTAAATGTCTTACTCACGTCGGCCACGGAGAACAAGAGCCCACAGTCCTTGGGAGCGGGCCGCGTCGATGGCACTGTGTTATCCTCAAAGCAGGCAAAGGTGTTTAGCTTGTCTGGGAGCAAGACGTTGGTGTCCGTGACGTGGCTGGTTTTCCCTTTGTAATCTGTTATTGTCTGTAGACCCTGCCACATACGCCTCATGTCTGAGCCGTTAATTGCGACTCCACTTTGTCTCTGTACTGACGATTTTTCCTGTTTGATTGATGTTTCAGGAGAGAGTTAAGAACAGTGATAGTAGCTTCTTCCACCACTCTCCTAACCCTATAAGCAAACTGCAATGGGTCTTACCAGTCCTGGACTTTGGCCATATTCTCACCCTTAACAATATGTTCAAAGGCTTTCATGGTCAGTGAGGTAAAGGCTACAGGTCTGTAATCATTTCAGATTTGGGGGGATTTGACCTTGGCAACTGGTACTGCCAATGACTCCTTCCAGTCCTCTGTAGCTCAATTGGTAGAGCATGGTGCTTGTAACGCCAGGGTAGTGGGTTCGATCCCCGTGACCACCCATACGTAAAAATGTATGCGCACATGACTGTAAGTCGCTTTGGATAAAAGCGTCTGCTAAATGGCATATTATTATTATTATTACAGGGACCGACTCCTTCCAGACTACAGGGACCGAATCCTTCCAGACTATAGGGACCGACTCCTTCCAGACTATAGGGACCGACTCCTTCCAGACTACAGGGACCGACTCCTTCCAGACTACAGGGACCGACTCCTTCCAGACTACAGGGACCGACTCCTTCCAGACTACAGGGACCGACTCCTTCCAGACTACAAGGACCCTTTGCTGTTGCAGTGACAGCTGGACGATCAAGGAAAATATGCCACTGAGTTGTCTAGCACAGTTTTTGAGCACCCTGCCTCCAATACCGTCAGGCTCTAATACCATCAGGCTCCAATACCGTCAGGCTCCAATACCATCAGGCTCCAATACCGTCAGGCTCCAATACCGTCAGGCTCCAATACCGTCAGGCTCCAATACCGTCAGGCTCCAATACCATCAGGCTCCAATACCGTCAGGCTCCAATACCGTCAGGCTCCAATACCATCAGGCTCCAATACCATCAGGCTCCAATACCATCAGGCTCCAATGCTCCAATACCATCAGGCTCCAATACCCTCTTCTATGCTTCCCTACTCTGGGTGGCATCACCCTGGTGAAAAGTGATATTTTTCATAATAACCGTCCCGTTGTCCTTGGGTCAAAATTATTATTAGTGACAGACCGTGGTTGGTCGACACTCCTGACCATGTAAGGAGGCTTTGGGCTCCCCAAAGAAGACAGGCTGCGTCGACGCAGCAGAGCCAAGGCGCCGGCCGAAGCGATGAGTGGCCGTTTGTTCACCGCCGGACAGGTCCTAGAGCAGATATGTTCATCAAACCTGGAGCAAGAAGAAGAAGACGAAGAAGAAGAAGAGGAGGATGAAGCTGAGGATGCTGAGGACGTGTCAGAAGAGGAAGACGACGAGGAATTCAACTCGCCGCGTCGTCCTCGTGTTCAGAGGAAGAGCGAGAGGAGGAAACGTGCGAGGGCGAAGGAGAGATGTTCATGACAAAAAAACAGCCAAATCAAATGGTCCTCAGTGGCATACGAGAGAGCGGGCAGGATGACAGAGAATGAGGCGGCGACGACGACCCCGATCCCCGGCGGACCTACGCCGTATGCGGTTGGCCAGGCCCGTGACACGCCGTCGAGCGTTCCACCTGTTCATCACACAAGCAATAGAAGAGATCGTGGTGGACATGACAAATCTGGAGGGTGTTCGAAAATACGGAGACGACTGGAAAGGGATGGACGAGACCGACCTACATAGGGCTGCTGATCTTAGCCGGCGTGTACAGGTCCCGCGGCGAGGCGGCGGCCAGTCTGTGGGACGCAGAGAGCGGAAGGGTGATATTCCGTGCCACCATGCCACTCAAAGTGTTTCACACGTACTCGAGACTGCTACGGTTCGACCCGCGAGACACGCGACTGACAAATTGGCAGCCATAAGAGAGGTGTGGGACAAGTGGGTGGAGCGGCTGCCGCGTCTCTACAACCCAGGGCCTGAGGTGACAGTGGACGAGCAACTGGTTTCATTTAGAGGTAGTGTACGTAATAAAATTATTCTGTGTGTTTCTTTTACACACACACCTCTGACCACCACCTCTGACCACCACCACTGACCACCACCTCTGACCACCACCACTGACGACCACCTCTGACCACCACCTCTGACCACCACCTCTGACGACCACCTCTGATGACCGTAACCTCTGTGCCTGTGTTCTGTGACACACCAACACTCGTAGTAATAATAGTAGCACTTGGCGACGAAGATTGCTAACAATCTCTTCTTTCCCGTCCCCCCCCCCCATCCCAAAGGCCATTGTCCTTTCCGGCAGTATATGCCAAGCAAGCCGGCCAAATACGGGATCAAGTCATGGGTGGACTGCGACGCGAAATCCAGCTACGCCTGGAAGATGCAAGTCTACACCAGCAAGCCCACCGGCGGAGGCCCAGAGAAGAAGCAGGGGCTGCGGGTCGTGTTTGACGTGACCGAGGGACTTGGGGGGGGGGGGCGCAATGTCACATGTGACAATTTCTTCACCTCTTATGAACTCGGTCAGCAGCTCCTCCAGAGGAACATCACCATGGTTGGCACGGTTCGAAAGAACAAGCCTGTGCTCCCACCTGCACTACTGGCGTCAAAGGGACGAGAGGTGTTCTGTTCTCGTCCAAGTTCGCCTTCATGCCTACCACCACTCTGGTGTCCTACCTACTACAAATTAGCTATAACTGGGCTAATAACTCACTAACTAGCAAAGAATATGAACAAATGTGCACACGTGGCTACACGCAGCTCTCGCTTTGATCTCAAAACAAGTGCATAATAATCGTGACCGCTCATGCTGTAAAAGTCCAGTTCTAAGTGAATGGCACAAATCCATGTACAGTTGGGGGGAAAAGTATTTAGTCAGCCACCAATTGTGCAAGTTCTCCCACTTAAAAAGATGAGAGAGGCCTGTAATTTTCATCATAGGTACACGTCAACTATGATAGACAAATTGAGATTTTTTTTCTCCAGAAAATCACATTGTAGGATTTTTAATGAATTTATTTGCAAATTATGGTGGAAAATAAGTATTTGGTCACCTACAAACAAGCAAGATTTCTGGCTCTCACAGACCTGTAACTTCTTCTTTAAGAGGCTCCTCTGTCCTCCACTCTTTACCTGTATTAATGGCACCTGTTTGAACTTGTTATCAGTATAAAAGACACCTGTCCACAACCTCAAACAGTCACACTCCAAACTCCACTATGGCCAAGACCAAAGAGCTGTCAAAGGACACCAGAAACAAAATTGTAGACCTGCACCAGGCTGGGAAGACTGAATCTGCAATAGGTAAGCAGCTTGGTTTGAAGAAATCAACTGTGGGAGCAATTATTAGGAAATGGAAGACATACAAGACCACTGATAATCTCCCTCGATCTGGGGCTCCACGCAAGATCTCACCCTGTGGGGTCAAAATTATCACAAGACAAAAATCCCAGAACCACACGGGGGGACCTAGTGAATGACCTGCAGAGAGCTGGGACCAAAGTAACAAAGCCTACCATCAGTAACACACTACGCCGCCAGGGATTCAAATCCTGCAGTGCCAGACGTGTCCCCCTGCTTAAGCCAGTACATGTCCAGGCCCATCTGAAGTTTGCTAGAGTGCATTTGGATAATCCAGAAGAGGATTGGGAGAATGTCATATGGTCAGATGAAAACCAAAATATAACTTTTGGTAAAAACTCAACTCGTCGTGTTTGGAGGACAAAGAATGCTGAGTTGCATCCAAAGAACACCATACCTACTGTGAAGCATGGGGGTGGAAACATTATGCTTTGGGGCTGTTTTTCTGCAAAGGGACCAGGACGACTGATCTGTGTAAAGGAAAGAATGAATGGGGCCATGTATTGTGAGATTTTGAGTGAAAACCTCCTTCCATCAGTAAGGGCATTGAAGATGAAACGTGGCTGGGTCTTTCAGCATGACAATGATCCCAAACACACCGCCCGGGCAACGAAGGAGTGGCTTCGTAAGAAGCATTTCAAGGTCCTGGAGTGGCCTAGCCAGTCTCCAGATCTCAACCCCATAGAAAATCTTTGGAGGGAGTTGAAAGTCTGTGTTCTCCAGCGACAGCCCCAAAACATCACTGCTCTAGAGGAGTTCTGCATGGAGGAATGGGCCAAAATACCAGCAACAGTGTGTGAAAACCTTGTGAAGATTTACAGAAAACGTTTGACCTGTGTCATTGCCAACAAAGGGTATATAACAAAGTATTGAGAAACTTTTGTTATTGACCAAATACTTATTTTCCACCATAATTTGCTAATAAATTCATTAAAAATCCTACAATGTGATTTTCTGGATTTTTTTTTCTCATTTTGTCTGTCATAGTTGACGTGTACCTATGATGAAAATTACAGGCCTCTCTCATCTTTTTAAGTGGGAGAACTTGCACAATTGGTGGCTGACTAAATACTTATTTTCCCCACTGTATGGAAATTGCTATTTGCATATAGGCCTACTGCAGCTCTGATTGGTTATGGCGCACCGGTCTGTGTAGAGTCCAGGCCTGAGTCATGTCTTGTCAGTGCAATAAAATCCTATTCCGATGGCAGGGAGCTCGGCCCCAAGTGATGTACTGGGCCGTACGTACTACACTCTGTAGTTAGCGCCGTACGGTCTACAGATAAGCCGTATTCTGACCTTGACTTCATTCCCTCATAATTACAACACCTTTACGCGAGAGGAAACCATGATTATGGTCGAGCGAACCTGCCGGTCCCATGTCGAAAAAGCATCTCTTTATTTTCCCCAATAGAAATAACAGCATTCGCCATGCACTGTAATTTATAATTTGATAAGAGCTATTGATAAGAGCTAGGTAAATGAGTAATCCGTTTGGAAAAAGAGATTGTAAATACACATAGCAATTGTTTAAGATTTATTTTTTCTTATGATCCCTGGAGACTAATTTGAAACCAGCCATATGGAAGCAAACTGAAAATCATATCAACATGACATGTATTGCGGATATAATTTAATTATATCCTATGTCCGGGCTTTTCTCCATTTTATTTAACAATGTTTATATCATGTTAAATATTAGCCACTATGGGGAGCCACGGTCAGTAGTACCCACATACATTTATAACTGTCACTTTAGTGTTAGTTTTCTTCCATTTGTAGCATCCATTTTGCTTCATTCCATTCCGTTTAACTTTATTTCCTCTGTCACGTCCAAGTTGTTCCTGAGGGTCGCTAGCATTAGTGGATCATATTAGGCGAACGATGTGCAATAATGTGCGACATATAGCCTATTTGAATCATTATGGAACTCAGACCACACGTAGCAGGTTAAACCTGGAGCCTGGCGCACGGTTCACGACGACTGGACCGTTGTCATACAGTTCCATGATTAGTGAGGATTAGGGTAGATGTATAGGACTATTGTTTAACCGCTATTGTACACTTTTTTCCACCTTCCAATATTCCATGAATTGAACTTGAATATGACAACTTTCAGGATGAATCAAACGACTGTATTTTGTATTCATCAATATATTTTGGGCGTAAAGGCTCTCCAAACCTGTTTTTTTATGATTCATACATACTTTCCTAACCCTAACATTTGCCTAAATAATCTACAAGATCAGAGAATTTTGTAATCTTCCAGTTGGTGGTGAAACGAAGATGAAGATGCATAGATGGCATTGTTTCATTGATCCATATATTCTGAACCCGTTCTCTCTATATATTCTATTTAAAGGGATGGCTTAAAATAAATGTACTGAAAACCCTATTGAATGAAAACTACACGAGAAAATCAGTTGGCCAGAAAGTGGGAGGGTTTTCAGCGGTTGAATTAGATTTATTCAGAGAGCGCAAGGTAACCACAACACGGTGCATTTTGGGTGCATTTTATTATTTATTATTGTTGTTGCATTGCCGAAAAGGAACATGCAAGTAAGCATTTCGTTGGAAGGTGTCTATCATGCTTATCCTGTACATACGACTAAGAATACAACTTCAACTTGCATCCCAAATGCAAGTTCCTGGGCCCTGGTCAAATGTAGTGAACTACATAGGGAATAGGGTGCCATTTGGGACTATATAGGGAATAGGGTGCCATTTGGGACTAGATAGGGAATAGGGTGCCATTTGGGACGCAACCACTGTGGTTTCACAAACACCACTAATTACACTGGGATAAAGGCTTGTTTATCACACAGCTTACCAGACACTGGTTAATTGCTTCTGCTTGTCATCCCTCGCTCTCTCTCTCCTCTTGCTCCCTCTTTCATTCTCTCTGAGTCGGCTCCACTCTCTCTACACTCATATTTCTCTCTCTCTCTCTCTCTCCTTCTGTCTCCCTTCTCTCTCTATCTCAGGCTAATTTAGAGGACACCATTGCTGCTCTGCTCAGCTTTACCTTTTTCATTTCATACTGCATGACTTTGTTTTCATATTTTTGCAATAACAACACCTCTTTATGAGCATGTAATGGACTGACTGCCGAGACTGGTCAGCTCTGTAAAGCCCATGGACCAGGTAACGTTTTTCTGGCACTATGGAGTTAAACTAAAGCCTCTTTGCCATCCCAGCTTATCGTACTATACAGGAGAGGAGTTTTCAGAATCCTAGAGGTTTCCTTCCTTCCTTAGGCCTCGCTAGAAGGATTGTGTTAGCTGAGATGTACATATTCCTGCAAACACCTTCGAGCGATTAAATACAATGCATTCAACATTTCCCCAAGGTTAGTAGTAATGTGAACATCAAGGTCAAGAGAGAGAGAGAAGGAGAGAGAAGAGAGAGAGAGAGAGAGAGAGAGAGAGAGAGAGACGAGAGAGGCATACATAGCAGAGCCATACATAGATATATAGACGCAGCTAAGTACCATCGTAGCTCTCCTGCTCTATCGCGCACTGACGCGCGCTCTCGCTTCTAGCGATTCTCGCGCTCGTCTGCCCCGTCTCGCCTCCGCCGCTCCCTCGCCTCTCCGATCCGCTCGCGCGCGCTCCCTCTATCTAGAGATGAGAAGATACATATTATGACATTTGAAATGTCTTTATTCTTTTGGAACTTCTGAGTGTAATGTTTACTGTTAATATTTATTGTTTATTTCACTTTTGTTTACTATCTACTTCACTTGCTTTGGCAATGTTAACATACGTTTCCCATGCCAATAAAGCCCTTAAATTGAAATTGAAATTGAATTGAGAGAGACATAGAGAAAGAGAGAATGAGAGAGAAAGAGTTCTGTATGGAGATGGAGATTGTATGTGTGACATTCTTACATGTAACCTGCTACCACAGAAGTAGTGTTCTTACAGTGAGGGAAAAAAGTATTTGATCCCCTGCTGATTTTGTACGTTTGCCCACTGACAATGACATGATCAGTCTATAATTTTAATGGTAGGTTTATTTGAACAGTGAGAGACAGAATAACAACAAAAAAATCCAGAAAAACGCCTGTCAAAAATGTTATAAATTGATTTGCATTTTAATGAGGGAAATAAGTATTTGACCCCCTCAAGCAGAAAGATTTCTGGCTCCCAGGTCTATTTTATACAGGTAACGAGCTGAGATTAGGAGCACACTCTTAAAGGGAGTGCTCCTAATCTCAGTTTGTTACCTGTATAAAAGACACCTGTCCACAGAAGCAATCAATCAATCAGATTCCAAACTCTCCACCATGGCCAAGACCAAAGAGCTCTCCAAGGATGTCAGGGACAAGATTGTAGACCTACACAAGGCTGGAATGGGCTACAAGACCATGGCCAAGCAGCTTGGTGAGAAGGTGACAACAGTTGGTGCGATTATTCGCAAATGGAAGAAACACAAAAGAACTATCAATCTCCCTCGACCTGGGGATCCATGCAAGATCTCACCTCGTGGAGTTGCAATGATCACGAGAACGGTGAGGAATCAGCCCAGAACTACACGGGAGGATCTTGTCAATGATCTCAAGGCAGCTGGGACCATAGTCACCAAGAAAACAATTGGTAACACATTACGCCGTGAAGGACTGAAATCCTGCAGCACCCGCAAGGTCCCCCTGCTCAAGAAAGCACATATACAGGCCCGTCTGAAGTTTGCCAATGAACATCTGAATGATTCAGAGGAGAACTAGGTGAAAGTGTTGTGGTCAGATGAGACAAAAATGGAGCTCTTTGGCATCAACTCAACTCGCCGTGTTTGGAGGAGGAGGAATACTGCCTATGACCCCAAGAACACCATCCCCACCGTCAAACATGGAGGTGGAAACATTATGCTTTGGGGGGTGTTTTTCTGCTAAGGGGACAGGACAACTTCACCGCATCAAAGGGACGATGGACGGGGCCATGTACCGTCAAATCTTGGGTGAGAACCTCCTTCCCTCAGCCAGGGCATTGAAAATGGGTCGTGGATGGATATTCCAGCATGACAATGACCCAAAACACACGGCCTAGGCAACAAACGAGTGGCTCAAGAAGAAGCACATTAAGGTCCTGGAGTGGCCTAGCCAGTCTCCAGACCTTAATCCCATAGAAAATCTGTGGAGGGAGCTGAAGGTTCGAGTTGCCAAACGTCAGGCTCGAAACCTTAATGACTTGGAGAAGATCTGCAAAGAGGAGTGGGACAAAATCCCTCCTGAGATGTGTGCAAACCTGGTGGCCAACTACAAGAAACGTCTGACCTCTGTGATTGCCAACAAGGGTTTTGCCACCAAGTACTAAGTAATGTTTTGCAGAGGGGTCAAATGCGTATTTCCCTCATTAAAATGCAAATCAATTTATAACATTTTTGACATGCATTTTTCTGGATTTTGTTGTTGTTATTCTGTCTCTCACTGTTCAAATAAACCTACCATTAAAATTATAGACTGATCATCTCTTTGTCAGTGGGCAAACGTACAAAATCAGCAGGGGATCAAATACTTTTTTCCCTCACTGTACAGAAGTAGTGTTCTTACATGTAGCCTGCTACCACATAAGTATTGTTCTTACATGTAGCCTGCTACCACATAAGTATTGTTCTTACATGTAGCCTGCTACCACAGAAGTAGTGTTCTTACATGTAGCCTGCTACCACAGAAGTATTGTTCTTACATGTAGCCTGCTACCACAGAAGTAGTGTACTTACATGTAGCCTGCTACCACAGAAGTATTGTTCTTACATGTAGCCTGCTACCACAGAAGTATTGTTCTTACATGTAGTCTGCTACCACAGAAGTAGTGTACTTACATGGCCTTAGGCAAAAGAGCAGTGGTGATCAATATGCTAAAACTACACATGAAGTAATGTGCAGCAAAGGCCTTTGGTAGCTGTTTAATAATGGCATAGTGTGTGTGTGTGTGTGTGTGTGTGTGTGTGTGTGTGTGTGTGTGCGCGCACGTGTGTAGAGAAAGAATGGATATACGCACAAAGCACAATCTGACGACAAACAACTGATTCAATGTCAAGGAGAGAGTCCAAAACATCTTGTTCAGTACATCCTATAGAATCCCATACAGTTCTGAAACGGTGTGTTGTAAGTCTTTTGTCTGTAATGTATTTTTCGTTATGTGTTGGACCCCAGGAAGACTAGCTGTCGCCATTGCCGTCAGCTAATGGGGATCCTAATAAAAATCATACAAAAATCACAGACGTAAAAGCAACATTAGTTCTCTAAAGTAATGACTAAACATCATTCTAAAGACACTTGAGGTACATCCAAAATACTTAAATCAATATGTAAAGGGATATGTTAGACCTGAATGTCCTGGTGGTTTCTCCCCCTAACTCCTACAGTCTAACATGACTGCTTTCCCTGAATACAGACAGAGATGACAATCAGTCAAATGAGGCTCTGTGAAAGTAAATCAGCTTTTTATGTTGATTGCCACGTCTATTGTTTATCGAGGGAAAGGAAAGGAGAGATGGAGGTATGGAAATAGAAGATGTGAAAGGTGTGAAATCTAAAGTAAATACCACATCAAATTAAATTTAAAAAACAGATATGTATGGTAAGCGATTTGGATCTCATATTATAAATAGTATATTGCTTTCTTCAGTTCCTGTGGTGATATTCACACCCTATGAGCAAAAGTGCTCACTGGGCATACAGATACAGAAGTGAATAGAATGGGCGGCAGGTAGCTTAGTGGGTAAGAGCGTTGTGCCAGTAACCGAAAGGTCGCTGGTTCTAATCCCCGAGCCGACTAGGTGAAAAATCTGTTGATGTGCCCTTAAGCAAGGCACTTAACCATGATTGCTCATGTAAGTCGCTCTGGATAAGAGCGTCTGCTAAATGACTAAAATAAATGAGTATGAACTTCATGGTTGCTATTCAGACTAATGGTTTAAAAAGATCTGATTGGTCAAGACCAATTAGTGGCCAAAGGTCAGAAATGTGCTTCCTGTTTAAAAGCAGTAACTCTTTATGTTTTCAAACCGGTTTCACCACAGCATGAGGTCATGCTTACAAATAATATAATCCTTATTTATTAATCATTTATAAATAGTTTACATGTTAGCAGACACTCTTTATCCAGAGCTACTTACAGCAGCAATTAGGGCAAATCAACAGATATTTCACGTAGTAGGGTCGGAGATTCGAACCAGCGACCTTTCGGTTACTGGCCCAACACTCTTAACTGCTAGGCTACCTGCTTATTCATTATATCACAAAGAGTTACTGTAACCCTGTATGCCCTCACACATGTTCAACCCTTGTTCCCTAAGTGTGAGGTAAGCTGTATCAGGTTTAGAAATACATAATGCTTTAAAAGGTTTTGCATGTCTCCACCATGTTGTTTGTGTACACTACCGGTCAAGTTTTTCCTGTTAATTGAAATGCATTCCAGGTGACTACCTCATGAAGCTGGTTGAGAGAATGCCAAGAGTGTGCAAAGCTGTCATCAAGGCAAATGGTGGCTATTTGAAGAATCTCAAATATGAAATATATTTTGATTTGTTTAACACTCTTTTGGTTACTACATGAATCCATATGTGTTATTTAATAGTTTTGATGTCTTCACTATTATTCTACAATGTAGAAAATAGTAAAAATAACGAAAAACCCTTGAATGAGTAGGTGTTCTAAAACTTTTGACTGGTAGTGTACAGAAGCAGGATACTGCCAGGCTGGTTAAGTTGAACATTGAACAGCTAACTGGTTAAGCGCTAACTGGTTGAGTTGAACAGCTAACTGGTTAAGCTGAACAGTTAACAGAACAGCTAACTTGTTGAGTTGAACAGCTAACTGGTTAAGCTGAACAGCTAACAGAACAGCTAACATGTTAAATTGAACAGCTAACTGGTTAAGTTAAAGAGCTAACTGGTTGAGCGCTAACTGGTTAAGTTGAACAGCTAAGTGGAACTGTTGTGGCTCCATTGTGTTATACACCCCCCCCCCCCCCCCCCCCCCCCACACACACACACACACACACACACACACACAAAACATAATGACATGACACACACCTTCCATTGAGTAGAGCAAGGAGCTCTCCGGCATGGTACAGATCGTTGCGTGTCACCTGGCCGAAGCGAAACGTGTTGAGGTTGCAGAAGGTGACTGCTGGGAAGATCATCAGCGGTGTCGCTATCTCGTCCAATTTAGTGACATGGGGGTACTGTAAGTAGAACTGGACCCGGTCCACACACACCAGGACCAGGAACCCGAGAGAACCCAGGAAGAACAAGATCCACAGGCACTGCTTGATGCAGATCCGTTCATAAGTGAACATGTGCGAGATGCCATGGAGAGTCGACCTGCTGGCGAAAACTTCAATCGCCGGAGGTTGCTTGAAAGAGTCCACCATCTCTTCCGAGTCCGGTTTGAGATCCATGACGAGGCGGTACGGTATCAGCGTGAAGGAATGGGAAATAGAGGGGTATAGTAGCCTAGACGAGGTGTTGTTATTAACAATAGGAAGAAAGGAGGGTACTGACTCTGACTCTGTGAGTTCACGCCCTACTACGCATGGATGTTCATCCTCATCCAGGCAGAATGAAATGTTGCGTCACTGAGCCCCCCAACAAAATAACACCATCTACCATATAGGCTACCAATACATTCTTCACAATGAAGTCGTCTATTTCGCGCTCAATTTCCCTTCAAAACGGTCCATGTGATAACTCAAACATACAGTATGTCCGATAGAGTCCCACATCTACAGGCATATATAGATTTCAATCCCGATTGGTCTCTCTCTCTCTCTATTTCTCTCTTCCAGGTTTGCAAAAACAAAGAAAGGACTGAAGAAGTTGAGATGGTTCAGGAGCAGTTCAATGATATGGTTCAAACATATGCAAATGTATACAACCAACGCTGTTTTTTTTGGGGAAATGCTGTAAATTGTCTGCCCATACAACACGCTGCGTTCCTTCCCACCGGCTGTAGTAAATCCCACCTGGAGACAGTCTTACATTCCCGGACCAGTGAGAAAACAGTGAGCCGCGTGTCGGTCAGGCAGCAACAGCCTTGCATCCCTCCTCTCCTGTCTCTAGAACGGCAACAACCACAACAATGCAGTCATCATAAACTCCCCTTTTGAGTGGGATAAGATGAAACACGATTTAGGATGAGACCATCCTGACTAAAATCATGCTTATTAATCTGGGGGGGGGGGGGGGGGGGGGGGGGGGTGTAAACCAATACCAACAAATTAGAGGTAAAAGGCAGAGGGAACCTCTGAAGATGTCGACATAAAACAGCTTTTCTTCCCCCTGATCAATTAATTTGATGCCCGAATCGGAGGAGAGCAGGGATTGGAAGGCACGTGTTTTAAATAGGGTGACAAAGTCGGTTGGAAAATACGTAAAGCTCCGAACCCCGCGAGTCTCCGTCTGAATCTTGCCTATTATGTCCTTATAAACCACGGCTTCCTGCATCGAATTAACCAGAATATATATTTTCTTTTTGTAAGCAACACTCATCAGTGGTAGAAAACATGGTGTGGTGGCGCTGATGCAGGAAGGGAGGCGGCAGGGAAGGGAGAGAGAGAGAGTGTGGTTGTGTACCACCGCCCCCCCGGTCTATGGTCTGAACAGTGTGAGTGAGAAGCTGATTGTAGTGGTGCTGACATGAGCTAAATGAGGTGTCTGGCTGCAGACCTGCACAAGGCAGAAGAAAACCCTACCCACCCGCAGACACCTAAGGGAATGCGACCCAAACAATATATCTCATTCTGTAACCTTATCAATACTTCTGATTAGAACGGAATGGAATGTAGCCTAACATTCAAATAATCCATCCATGGAAAGATGAGGCAGAAACAGTTAGTTTGTTAGTTAGTCAGTTAGTTAGTAGGTTAGTTTGTTAGTTAGTCAGTTAGTTAGGGGTTGGGAAGGCATATACTGTATAGCCTATAGTAAATAGCCTACTGCAAGACTGTCAAAGCAGCATGAGAAACCTATTACCACGGAGGTTAACGGTACTCACCAATGAAATTGCTCATCTAATGCATATATAATCCCCGTTTGTTATAGTATTGACTGCATGACACAGTCTATTATGCAGTATATATCATTTATCATGTATTGAAGGCTACTGTATGTTGGTAACTTAAAGGAAAACTCTGCCCAAAAACTATCTTTAGGTATTTGTTTCATTAGTCCATTGTTGATATAGTCCCAACACGGTTTTGCATGTCAGCAATCAAGTGTTCAGATTTCTATATTTTGAAAGTTACATATCTTGAAAATGTGATTGCTGACATGCAAAACCTTTTGGGACAATATCAACAATGGACTATGTGTTCTCTCATAGTCCGAGAGCATCTGGTCGTCGAGGTGATGGTACGGGGCTACTAATTTCTCCTACGTGGAGATTTTCTCTTCTCCCCCTCTCTCACCTGTCTATCTCCTCATTTAAATTCTGTGCTGTCACTGTCACTTGTCCACTCAAGTTTAACATTGTTGTCATCTATCGCCCACCAGGTGCCCTTGGAGAGTTCCTCAATGAGATTGACACCTTGATAAGCTCATTTCCCGACGATGGCTGACCACTTATCGTACTGTGTGACTTTAACCTCCCGACGCCAGACTTCAATTCATTTCTTTCCACCTCTTTCTTTCTTTCCACTCCTTTCCTCTTTTGACCTCACCCTTCCCCAGTCACAGGCAATACGCTTGACCTCATCTACACTAGAGGCTGTTCGCTTACTAATCTCACTGAAACCCCCCGTCCATGTCTCCGATCACTACTTTGTTTCCTTTTCTCTCCATCTCATCTCTCCTCCAACCCTAACCACTCAACCCCTACCCATCTGGTCGTCCCACTGTCTCTCTTCGACCCTACTCTCCTCCCTTTCTGCATCCTTTGACTCTCACTGCCCCCTTTCCTCCAGGCCGGCCCGACCTTCCCCTCCCGCTCCATGGCTGAGTGACTCACTGTGTGCTAACAGAACAGGGCTTCAGGCAACTGAGCAGAAAAGGAGGAAAATTACATTTCCTGAGGACTTATCATCCTTCCACTCTCTCCTCTCTACCTTCTCTTCCTCTGTATCCTCTGTTAAAGCTGCTTTCTATCACTCTAAATGTCAAGCTTCTGCCTCCAACCCTGGGAAACTCTTCTACACTTTCTCCTCTCTCCTTAATCCTCCTCCCCCTCTCTTCTCCTTCTCTGCAGATGACTTTGTCAACCACTTTGAAAAAAAGGTTGACGACATCCACTCCTCTTTCACTCAGCCTAGGGAGTCCACTGGTCCCACTCACACATAACTACCCTACACCTTGACCTCTTTCTCCCCTCTCTTTCCAGATGAAATCCTTCTCCCTCCTGTCTCCTGACGCTGCCTCTTCGACCCTACTCTTCTGCATCCTTTGACTCTCACTGCCCCCTTTCCTCCCGGCCGGCCGGCCGGCCCGACCTTCCCCTCCCGCTCCATGGCTGAGTGACTCACTGTGTGCTAACATAACTGGTCCCACTCACACAGAACTACATTTTTCTCCCCTCTCTCTCCAGATGAAATCCTGCAACTAGTGATGTCCGGCCACCCGACAACCTGCCCGCTTGAGAGTCGCTCCCCTCCTCAAGAAACCAACACTCAACCCCTCTGACATCAAAAACTACAGACCTGTATCCCTTCTTTCTTTTCTTTCCAAAACACTTGAGCATGCTGTCTCTGACCAACTCTCTCGTTATCTCTCTCAGAACGATCTTCTTGACCCTAACCAGTCAGGTTTCAAGGTGGCTCACTCAACTGAGACCGCTCTCCTCTCTGTCACAGAGGCTCTTCGTTCTGCCAATGCTGACTCTCTCTCCTCTGTTCTCATCCTCCTAGATTTATCTGCTGCCTTCAACACCGTGAACCATCAGATCCTCCTCTCCACCCTCTCAGGGCTGGGCGTCTCAGGCTATGCACACTCTTGGATTGCATCCTACCTGGCAGGTTGCTCCTACCAGGTGGCGTGGATAGGATCTGTGTCTGCACCATGTGCTCTCACTACTAGTGTTCCCCAGGGCTTGGTTCTAGGCCCTCTCCTCTTCTCTCTGTACATCAAGTCACTTGGCTCCGTCATATCCTCACATGGTCTCTCCTATTGTTGCTATGAGGACGACACTCAACTACTCTTCTCCTTCCCCTCCTTCTGACATCCAGGTGGCGACATGCATCTCTGAGTGCCTGGGAGATATCTCAGCTTGGATGTCGGCCCACCACCTCAAGCTCAACCTCGACAAGACAGAACTGCTCTTCCTCCCAGGGAATGCCTGCCTGCCCGCTCCAAGACCTCTCCATCACGATTGACAACTCCACGGTGTCCCCCTCCCAGAGTGCAAAGAACTTTGGCGTGACCCTGGACAATGCCCTGTCGTTCTCTGCAAAGATCAAAGCAGTGACTCGCTCCTGCAGCTTCATGCTCTACAACATCCGTAGAGTACGACCCTACCTCACACAGGAAGTGGCGCAGGTCCTAATCCAGGCACTTGTTATCTCCCATCTAGACTACTGCAACTCTCTGTTGGCTGGGCTCCCAGCTTGTGCCATCAAACCACTGCAACTTATCCAGAACGCAGCAGCCCGCCTGGTGTTCAACCTTCCCAAGTTCTCCCATGTCACCCCGCTCCTCCGCACACTCCACTGGCCTCCAGTCCAAGCTAGTCATCATCTTCGAGACCCTGGTGCTTTTCTACGGAGCAGCAAGGGCAACTGCACCTCCCTAGCTTCAGGCTATGCTCAAACCCTACATCCCAACCCGAGAACTCTGTTCCGCCACCTCTGGTCTCTTGGCCCTCCCACCCCTACGGGAGGGCAGCTCCGGCTCAGCCCAGTCAAAGCTCTTCTCTGTCCTGGCACCCCAATAGTGGAATGAGCTGCCCTCTAAAGTCAGGACAGCGGAGTCCCTGCTGATCTTTTGAAAACGTCTGAAACCCTACCTCTTTGAAGGGTATCTTAAACAACTCTCACGGAGCGTCCGACGCCCCCCTACCCCCAAAAAATAAAAATAAAAAAAAATAACGTATCTTTTCCCACTAGCACTGACTTTCCTGATAAATACTTTGTTGAGGGTAAATGTACATGATACGATTGTGTTGTGTTGTTGTCTCACCTAACTATCTTAAGATGAATGCACTAATTATACGTTGCTCTGGATAAGAGCGTCTGCTAAATGACTAATATGTAAAGGCTGTGTGCTGCAACTATAAGATGCCTCTCTGCACTGCACATTAGATGGCTGCAACTATAAGATGCCTCTCTGCCCTGCACATTAGATGGCTGTAACTATAAGATGCCTCTCTGCACTTCACATTAGATTGCTGTATCTTTTAACTATAAGAGAGGCTGCAGACAGAGTAATGCATTCATAAATCTATAAAGACCTCTTATAGAATATCTACTCTTGT